GGTGTAACATGGACAGAAATCAATGGAAAAATGTATGAATTTTATGCTCAAGATATTCGACATCCACAATCAAAAGAAATTTATGAACAATTAGAAATTTTACATGAACAATTAATAAAATTAGGCTATCAACCTAATGAAAGTGTTTTAACAAAAAAAGAAATAAATGTTGAATTGAGTATATATGGACATTCAGAACGATTAGCTATTGCATTTAATTTAATATCAACACCACCTGGTACAACAATATATTTAACAAAAAATTTACGAATGTGTATTGATTGTCATGAAGTATCAAAACTAATTGCTCGATTAACACAAAGAGAAATTATTGCAAGAGATAAACTAAGAATACATTATTTTACTAAAGATGGTCGTTGTTCATGTGATGATCATTTTTAATTGTTATTTGTTTTTTTTTTGTTTTCAATTAAAATTGATGTTGATGAAATGAAACGTTTGGTTTATTGAGTTTTGTCATTCCGAGAATCAGTTTAGGAAAAAAAACTTTTATTTTGCTTTCTCAGAAATCACACATTCAGATTAAAAGATTTCTTCGATAATTGATAACCATTGATATACAGATCTAGAATACCTACTAAGTGACGTGTCTAGAGGCAGTTTAGTTATGTCAAAAATTAATTTTCTCATCGATACCTATGTTTCCAGACTAATTTTTGAAAATCTGGTTGTTCCACTGTACTGGAAATTCGTCATAAAAACCTTTATACCATTAGACAGAATATGTGTCAAAGTATATTTATCAACATTTGAATCAATGAAAAGAATGACTTTTATTGTTTTATTTAATGTTCATGTGGATGCATACTGTGTGGTGGTTACAAAAAACAATGGACATCAGAAGTGATAAAGATTATCTCAATAATAGTACTTGAATATCTCCTGTCAAATAGTTTTTTATGTATGCAGATAAATCTGATTCGCATATTCAATTGTTGATCGACATTTCCTGAAACTCCTAAAAATGTTTACAAGCAATTTTAAAATTTATCTTTCTATACGATACAAAAATGATGAGGGAAATATTGTAGTTTATATTTTCAGAGTAAGTATATTTCGAAATAAAAATATGAAAAAGATTTTGGTTTTATCCAAGGGGGAAACAGCTGATTTTAATCAATTTTAAATCAAAAAAATCAGTTTAATCAATTAAATCAAAAAAATCAGTTTAATCAGCTAAATCAAAAAAATCAGAAAATTTTTAATTTCTTTTGTTTAAAAACATCAATTAAGAGTGAAATCAGCTGAAATCAGATTTTTTTTGATTTTTCTGATTTTCTTTGATTTTTTTGATTTCTCTGATTTTCTTTGATTTTTTTTAGTTTTCTGATTTTCTTTGATTTTTTTGATTTTTCTGAATTTATTGATTTTTCTGATATTTTTTTGATTTTTCTGATTTTTCTGATATCTTTTTTGATTTAAAATCAATTGATTTAAATCAAAAAAATCTGATTTTAGCTGTTTCCCCCTTGGTTTTATCAGTATCTATTAAAGAAAGATAGAGATTTATAATTGTTTCAATCGAACAAAGGATAAAAATACAGTTTTATTGTTATTTTTTATGAAGATATTAATCATTAATAATAATAGAAAAAAAATAATTTGATTTAAAATTTTTGTATTGAATACAAGTTTTAGAAAGCTGTTAATTTATAATGTTATTATTTACGATTATCACTATTTATTTCTGTTACTATAGATTAGGTTACAATAGTTGATGATAGTTGGATAATAGTCGAAAATTTGAAAATATAGGATAAAAACGTGTTTACATATCCAATTGAATTTACTCATCCAAGATAGTATTGATTTGTTTTACATTCATTTCTGCTGAGCAAAAAAATGAAGCAAGCTTTTGAAGGAAAGGACGAACAATCTTTTCCCTTCTCGCTGACATCCACCGCTGTGACGCTAGTACTCCAAAAATTTTTGTATATTTTACACTTTCTACGCACTCTGACGAGTATTTCTATGAGTTTTGCCTTATAGATTTATTGTAAGACGAAAGTAGTCCAGGTCAATCCTAACGACATTCGAAAACAAGCAGATTTTATCAGAACTAGTCGGAAAAATAATTGTATCCAACCGGGAAATGCTGGAAATGACTAGAACATGGATGTCGTATTTCGGGTCGAAATGTTCTCGGATTTTTGTCAGTGACTTCTGGTCGTTTCCCGTCAGAAATGACAGGAAGTTGAGTTAAGATCCCAGACAAAAAAATCTAGAGACTTGTCGATCAAAAATATTGCTTCCATATTCCTTAAGAATAAATATTCTACACAAACGTACAATTCTTTTTTGAGATTGACTGTAAAAATCAATAAAACAAAAGGTAATATGATAATATTCATTACAGATCGTTTGAGATTTTAATTTATAAAAAAAAACCGTACATAATACTACTCAAGTCTAAGAAAACGGCGAAAATCAGCATTATTATACCGCCATTTACGACGATGGAAATAATCATTCCGAGTCGAGACGAAAATTAAATTTTTTATGCTTTTTTTGAATTTATTAGATGATAGATAGTTATTAGTTCGAAACTATTTATTTTCTTTTTTTCATAATAATGAAATACTCTTTGTTTATTTATTATTACATTTTTCTTTTGTTTTACTGCCTAATTTATTATTCCTTTTTCTTCATTTATGTTTACTGTTCTCAAGATGTTTTTTAATTTACTTATACTTTATTTTCTGAAAATAGAAATTTTATCTCTATTCTTTATATTAAAAAAATGAAGGTAAAGTAATACTTCGAGTTTCTAAATTGAATATTTTACTCAACTTTTCATTATATGTATCTCTGTTGTTTTTTTATTGTCATAGTTTTATATTTAAATAAAACAAATGTACTACAATAAGACTGGATAGAATACAACTCTATAAATATTCGAGGGTGTGGATGTTCCAAGTGGGAGCAGGGATCTGACTACTACCCTCATACTCTTGGAAAACTTCCATATTTCTCCAGTTTTTGTTTTGGCTCATCAATTTCTATAAGAATGGTCGCTCATCTCAATCTCGGTGATCTCAGCGCATCCATACATGTTATATAAATCAGTAGAGCACAGAAATACTAGATAGAAGTACTTGTTGTTTCAAGACAATTGCTCAGCTGTCATATTCAAATACTCAGAATTAAGCACGAGCGCCACTGATGAGTTCTTGTTGTATTTTTCTGCCAATAGCTGCATGTACACACGAATTTGCATAATATAACATATATGTGTCTCATTTTGTATTTTTGTTTCGGTACATGTCTGTTTAAAAGGCATCCCGACTACCATTTATCCTATTGCTTATATACCATACAATATTCAATAATTTATCAATTTTAATCGACCATTCTTCAAGTATTTTATATGTTTGAAAGGACTTGACATTCGAATATCATTAAATAGAAACTTCATTTATTTCATATACTTAAAAAAACAACAATGTTGTTTTTTTCCCTTCTGCAAAGCAATGTTGAAATACTAATTATGTTTTTTAGTGCATGTTTGTTTGGTATCTTTCAACGAACAAAAATAACACAAGTATTATTATCTTATTGAATACTTAACTTCTACCAGAGAGAACAATTAATATTCATCTAACATAAATCTTAGTCATAAATCGTTTAACATACAAAATATATTCTATTCTATATCTGTGTGTAGTTTTTTTTAACTATACTTATCTTATGAGTACTTATACCGTGATATGCATTTATAGGACATAGTTCAAAGTCAAAGTCAGTGTAAACTTAATAATCATTTATGAATCTTTATTATCACAGAAATAAATACAAAGGAAGATGTTGTTTCTTCTATATGGAATATATAAATTAAATATTTAAAGCTAATTATAGTTCATTAATTATTTCTCGTAAAATTGATATTAAATTATCTAAACCAAATAAATAACCATCTTCATGTGAACCACGTATCCATGGTTTTTCATGTGTTATATGAATATTATTAGGTAATAATCGTGTCTTTCCAAAATCAATCATCCATATTGAGGCTTTATTTTCATCATGTACAAATAAAAGTGATGAACCAATTAACTTTAAATAAAAACATAAAAATAATTAGATCAAATTAAGAATATTTTTATACAAACTTCATGAGTTTGAAAAAAATTTGAACGAATACATGCTGAACGTAATTTAATAAGACGTTCGAGATATTGAATCTATGAAATATAATCATAAATAATGAAAACAAAAAGAAAAAGTCGAATCAAAAACTTACAGCACGTGGGAATGAATTAGCAATAAATTCACTTAACTGTTTTTTAACATCATTATGTCCTTTAATTCTTTGAAACTCTTTTGACATCAAACCATCAGATTTCTACACATAAAAAAAAAGTCATTTTTTATTAAAACAAATGAAATTCAATTCGTTTACTTGAATAGCTTCAATACGAAAACCTAAATTTTGACTTGAACTTAAACTTTCTCGCCAAATCATATAACGTGATTTAAGAATTTTTTTCTCCTCATGTTCTTTTTCTGTTGGAGCCAAGTAATCAATTGCAATCATTTTATTGTATAAATCCTAAAAAGAAAAATTAAATATTGATTTCAATCAATAATAATCAATGAATTTTGTTGTCTTTTTACAGTTCTTGGTTCTGGATTGCGTTCAGACTTATCAAGTTCTTCTTCTAAATAAGTTCTTACACCAATTTTACAATCCATTATAGATGGTTCATGAAATGTAGCTAATAAATCTTCTATTTCAATAAATACTAAAAAAAGAAAACCAAATACGATTATTATTTATTTAAATTTAATCTTTTTTTTTTTTTGCTAACATTTTCCTTCTTCATCTTGAACAGTTCCATTATATTTTGGAACAAAATCTTTTAATAAATCATTTTGAAGTAATTTACAACAATGTCGTTCATGTTCACATAATTCTTTTAATATATAACCATCATGAATTCCTGTTTTAAATGTTCCTTTAGATATAAAAAAAAAACAAAAATATATTTTATATATCAATATAAATGGAAAAAGAAAACAAAAAACAATCTTACCATCATGACCGACTAATTGTATCCATTGATTTCGTTCCTGTTTTACTTGTGTTGGTGTTAGAAATATCGTAACAACATTTGAAAAAGCTTTTCGACTTTGATTATTCTTATATAAAATGAAATAGACACATTTGTTTTTTAATCATAATCTTAACTAAATATTAATTTTTACTTTTTTTACATGATCTTCAAAATATTTTGAATCGACTGGTGATGATGAAGACAATTGTAATTCATCAGTATTAAAGCTTTGCCATAGACCAAGTAACGTATTTTTTACAGATTTATTATGTTTTGTTGATGGACAACTAGATGATGTTGGATATTGATAATATCGTTGATTAGATAAATATTCGTTGGATCTTGAATTTATAGCTGTTATCATGTTTGGTGTGTTGCTATTCTCTAAATGACTTGAATCATGTAAACTTTTATGTGTAACTGTTTGTTGTGGTGATGATTGTGTAGCTATATCACGTACAAGTTTTCGTTTATTCAAATGAGAACGTTTTGAAAATGAGATTGAAAGTGACGAAAGACCATATCTTATTTTTCTTGTAGGAGGAGACTCTCGCATAACTAAATAAGAACATACTTTTGTAGAAACTGAAACTGTAGATGTAACAGCAGGTATGCTCAATTGTACCCCAGTATCAATGGAAACAGTCTCGATAATGTTACTTTTTCTATCCAATGAGACCATGGTTTATCTGAAAATGAATGTAAGATGAATGCCACCGTTTTCATGTGAAATATGGCATATGTTTATTATTCAACCTTAATTGAAGGTTTCACGTAGGATTGTATACTAAAGAAAAACAAAAATACTATACAAATTAACGCCAACGCTATGTTTTTTCTTTTCTATTTCATTATACACTTGTCAAAAGACTGATTCAATTTTTTTCCTTTGTACTTCGTCACTCTTCAAAAGAATATAGGTTTATGACTTCACTTTAGGTATGTCATATACTTCATGACGTTAGTATAATAAATGTAGAGATTAGTACGGATGAAAATGCATGATAACCTTGGAAAAAAAAGAAAGATCAAAATAAAAAATTTTATAAATATAATATGTGAAAATAATTGAATAACTTCAAACCTGTTTGATAATCTTCAATCGTTTTATGTAAGAAAAATTTTTCAAAAGAAAAAAGCCTTATCAACAATAATCGGTCAACTATGGTGTTTTTTTTCCTCAATAAACTTATCAAAATGCATATATTATAATATATAATATTTCACAATACTAATGTCAATAATTAGATCAATATAAAAAAGCACGTATCTGTTTTTTTCCTACCTTATTTCTTTCGAATTGATAACTGATACTTGTCAATATAGATACGTTATAAAAACCAATCCTGAGGATATAATCAGACTCCCATAATAATATAAGCGGTAGATGTTATTGATTTATATGTTGAATTTCAACTTTAACTGCGTCATTTCGAAAGCATGATATTGATGAATTAAAAATATTTACTGACTATTATTCATGATATTTTGACTCATATGATAAGAGTAAAAAAAAAGCTGTCTCAATTATAAGAGTTAACTATTGTCGAACAAAAAAATTTTTATCTATGACAATATTAACATGAGTGCGTCACCAGAAGGTAATTGCCACACCTAAAAAAATTATTAGTGGTATATATAAGGATAAAAATATTTTTCTTTTATAATAATAAGATATTACAATCTATTGTTACACTTCAATATAAAATGCTGACTCGCCTATGAATGTTAATATTCGTTTGTCTTACAAAGATTATCAACAAATCTACTAAGGCATTCTAAGGCAGAGGAATGCAACCTTTCGGTAGTTTGAAATATCAAAATCAGGAGAGAGAGAGAAATATCATCTCTTCGTTCTTCTAGATTCAATAACTATACTATTCGGTTTTAAAAACAAAAATCTGAACATATCAACTTCGATTAACCGATCTTGTTGATGTTGTATATTTTGTTGCCAAAACTAAATCAAATACATAAAAATAAAATATTCTTCAATATTTAATGCATGCATTTCATATTTTTTTTCTAGTCTGCTTTTATCGTTGTACTTCTATTTCAATGGTTATTGATTTTGAATGAAAGAAATTTCATAGAAAGTTCTTGCCGATGAAAATTGAATCAATATAACATTCCATAAATTATTTATGAATTTTCTTTATTTTAGACGACTTTATTCAATAAGAAAAAAAAAATAAGTATAACACTTTTATTGATTCGATGTATTCGTTTTCTGAAATAATTAAACAATCACTTTCACGTATGCAAAAAAAAAATATCACTCAAAAATTTTACGTCGATTTATTCATTGAAAGTACTAGAAAAATATCAGCAGGGATAATAAATTTTGAAAATTGATTCAATTTTGTTGTTATTTTCAGGAAATAATGCACAGTTTGAAAATCACAGCGTGATACATAACCTACTGCGCGAAAGCCTTGGCCTTGGCACAAAATGTTTGTTCAATTTTCTACTCTTTAACCTTCACGAAAGAAAATGGAAAGTAGTTAGTTAGAATCAGAATTTCATGCTTTGTATAAATATATGCTCAGAATTATTTTCTGACTTAAGAGTGACTAAGTAGGAGTAAATAATTGGGTGAGCGACAGAAAGACATCTGCACAAAAGATAAAGTTATGATGTTTTGACATAAACTTTTGCTCATTTTTTAGACAATAAGATGTCAGTGAAAAGTATCAAGAGTAGTCAATCTGAGTCAGAATTTTACGCTCTTTCTAAATATATTGTTAGAATTGTTTTCTGACTTAAAACTATTTAACTGTGAACACATAATTGACAAACTAAACTGCTGTTTTGAGTTAAATAAAATAATTAACTTCACTAGGTGTTATATTCGTACAGTTTTAAATCTATATTATTGCATAGAGCATTTGGTTTTCTATGAGATCGTTGGTTGCAATAAGCTCCAGCTTCAAAAACTCAAAGGCTATAGGGATAATTTAACAAGCCGTTTTCTACACAACACGGCATATTGTCCAAAACCGTTGTTTTGTGAATATTGTTTAACAGATTTTGAGCTATCGTTATGGTATTAAAAAAACAGAGTAAACTGAACATCTAGTAGAGCAAGCTTCGCTCTATAAACTAATATGTAAAATAATTTTTTTATCATTTGTACTGAGGCAGTTTCAATCGAGATACGAAAATCTGGCGATATGAAAAACTGTGTACAGACGCTTCTGTTTGGACTACCCACTTATTTGCTCCTACTTAATCATTCTTAAGTGAGAAAATAATTCTGAGCATATATCTATACAAAGCGTGAAATTCTGATTCTAACTAACTACTTTCCATTTTCTTTCGTCAAGGTTAAAGAGTAGAAAATTGAACAAACATTTTGTGTCAAGACTTTCGTGCAATAGGTTAGCTTCTTTTTTATTTGTTTTTGTGGACTAAATCGTTAAACAAATTGCATCATTGGTTGAAAATAATTCTTCTATCTCCATGCATTTATATATAGTCTGATGCTTTTAGCATGAAGCGTTCGACCACCGATTACAATTGACTGAATCACCAGTGATTGACTTTTGACTTGATCGATCTCATAAAATTTATTGGAACTATTAAGACATAGTGCATCAGTGTCAAAAAATACCTTATCTTATAATTCATCTGATTAGAATATTAATAGAAGTAAAAATATAAGTTTATCTTTTTTCCTTCGATATATTTATCTGATTGAAACAATTTCGGTATCATCGAATATTATTATCATCATAATCGATTACGATACATATGCAATCAATATAATAAATGATTTTTTCTATATCTACATTTGCACCAGAAACTAATGTGTCACGCATCCTATGATAATCTATATTTAGAAGCATGACTATGATTATTAGATAAAGGAAATAATCAGATTTTTGTTAGATGTTTTAATTCTGAAAGTATGCATATGTTTGCATCAATATATATCTATATATATATAGAGAGAGAGAGAGCGGTAGTAAAGAAATACAGAAATTCTAATTTCCAACCCCTGGAGTTAAAAAATCAAAAACATGATATTTTCGATGATGAAATGAACTAAGTTTTAATCAAAATCATGCAACAAAAGTCCTGAAAATGTCTAATCTAGTCAATTCTTTTCTCCGTTTCATCATTTTAATTTTTTAATTCCATGAGAAGTATTCCATAAAAGAAAAGAAAGAAAATAAAACGAATTTTTTTTTTTTTGTTTGACAAGAAAATCAGTGAAAATTGTGTTATATTTCAACTAAGAACATAATAGATATAAAAATAAATGCATAGATTCGATGAAAAAACTTCCAAACAATATCTACTTGTTTTTACATGAAATTTGATACTTGTATATATTTCTTTCTCTTTGTTGTGAATAGTGTCTCCGATAGATGTAAAAATGAATTAATTCAAAAATTTCTTTTTTTAAGCTAAAAAACAGATATTTTTGAAATGTAGAACGAATACAGAAAAAATGAATAATTATGTGTCATTAAATACTTTATTCCCTCGATATAAATATATTCTTGTATGTTATCGATAATGTTGAATTGCAAATATTGTAATTATTCATTTTGTGGAACTTTGTTTTGTTTTTTTTCGTTCACTTGTTGATATATGATCAGCTCAAAGAAGTTCCTATTTTCTGATAAAATAAAATAATATTTGTTAATTTTATTCAATGTTGAACAAAAAAAAAAAGAGAGAAGAATTTTCAACGGCAAGTGCTATTAAATATTTCATAAGTCAAAGCTAATTAAATCAATATCTTTTAACTGATTGTTTACGTCAGTCTAATTCTAATGCAAGACGACAAGAGTTAATCATAGGGTAGTTTTCGTTTTGAAGATTGACAAGAAAATAATGAGATACAATCATATGATAAGTTCATAAAATGGAATGTGTAGGAACATACATGGTCTTCCTAAGTTCTTTCTTGTCATACAGAATTAATCATATTTTTAACGGCAAGAAAATCTTTATTGACAGTAACTTTTTATGACAATAGACAATTTTAATCTTGATAATACACGTTTCAAACATACTAACTGATTGTTCTGTCGTTGTGAAGATTTATTTCTCTTCGAAATTTCTTTTTTTTTTTTCTAAATTTTCATTGAGAAATATTCATTAAATTTTATACGGTTACATTCGTTTTCTATTGAAGAATTCAATCGTACGATTTTATATTTGTGTTAATTTAAATGATTAGATTAAGCCATAAAAATATGACTATTTCATATTTATTTTTACATTTGTAACATTTTCTTTTTCACACGAATACTTTGTCAAATATTAATTGTGAAAAAATTAGTGAATATTTTATTATGTTTTATACTTTTTTTTCAAGGTCTTTCTATTCAATCTTTAATTTATTTATTTACTAAAGTTCAAAGAATGCGAATAATGCATATTCATCTTGTGTAGTTTTGTTGATTAAAATGCCATTAGTTATGATTTAAGTCATGAAAATTTAATATATCAAGGTATTTTTTCATCAGATTTTATTTTATGTGACTTTGTAATTTCAAAAATATAGCCGATAAGTTAGAATGCAATTTTTTTTTGATAAAC